TGAATATTTCATTTTATTTATTTATTTATTTATTTATTTATTTATTTACTTATTTATGAGAGAGAGGCAGAGGGAGAAGCAGGCTCCATGTAGGGAGCCCGACATGGGACTCGATCCCGGGTCTCCAGGATCATGCTCTCGGCCAAAGGCAGCGCTAAACCGCTGAGCCACCCAGCGATCCCCTCTTTTGAATATTTTAGGCAGTCACTACCTCACCATGTTCAAGATACAATGCTAACAATGCAGAGGAACTTTTTTTTTTATTTTTTAATCTGACTTAATATAGGCAGGCAGTCTCCTCAGTTGCCAACTTCCGTGGAAATCCAGTCATAGATAATTTCTGAAATTAAGTCACCAAATTAAGCTACTTATTTAAGAGCGTTGTGGTAGCCAGCAAGGGATAGCATCGTGAACCAGACTTGACAACATCAGAGAAGTGTACACCTGAGGTCCGACCATTACAGGCAGAGGATGGGGAAAAATGGGTAAAATCACATATAGGGCTATCTCTTCAGGGTTGTAGGGAAGTAATCAACTCCGGCAAAAGACCCTATACTGTTAAGCTACGTTGCTTCGGGGGCCCCTGGGGGGCTCAGTGGTCCAGCGTCTGCCTTCGGCTCAGGTAGTGATCCTGGGGTCCTGGGATCGAGTCTTCCAGGGAGCCTGCTTCTCCCTCTGCCTGTGTCTCTGTCTCTCTCATGAATAAATAAATAAAATCTTTAAAAGCAAACAAACAACTGCATCGCTTCATTATAAGCTGTCACGTATAGAAAAATATATATTGATCATAAAAGAAATCACAGTGTATTACCAAACATAATCAGAGGAAACAAAATATGTAATTGTATTTTATTTTTGATTATGGCAAATTCTGAGTCGTTAGGTTTCATAAACTTTAATCAGTCAGATAGTTAATGTACTGACATTTTTTAAAAGAGATTTTTGAAAATAATTTGACTATCCCACTAAAGCAGGGTCAACGACAACAAAAATTGTGAATTGCCACTTTCTTTTCTTGTGTCCACAGCAGACGACTCTCATAGAGCCATTTCCCACTTTTCACTGACCCTGGACTTGGCCTCGAAATGCTTCCTCAGCAGCCACTCATTGCCAGTTAATTGGGGTTAACACTTAATATGAAAACTATTCATCATTCCACTGGTTAACTGAACTTTCTGAGAGCAGGGACTTTGTCCTACTTACCTCCGTATGGCAATGCCAGCATATTACCTGCACAAAAGTGGCACTCCGTATATAATAGTGAATAAGTCCTCCAGGAATCGTAAAAAAATTTTCACTAGCAGGTAATTTTCAAATAAAATATGCAAGTGGCCAGTTACAAGCAAAAATAAATTTAACTTCACTTTAATTAAGAAAAAAATAGACAAGCAATTTTTGGCTAGGTTGGCTAATATTTCTGAAAAAGTAATATTTAATTCTGATGATAGAGGAAACGTATACTCAGCTATATAACTTGGTAAGAATGTAACTTATGACAGTTTTTCTGCCGGGAAAATACTTTACCAAAAATCATAAAAATAGCAGTACTTTCACTTAGAGTTTCTACCTGTGGAAATATATTTCATGAAAAAAAAAAAAAACTTGTGTAATGATTTAGCTGTAAGGAAGTTTGTTGAAGTATGATATAAAAAATCAAATTTGTTGGGATCCCTGGGTGGCACAGCGGTTTGGCGCCTGCCTTTGGCCCAGGGCGCGATCCTGGAGACCCGGGATCGAATCCCACGTCGGGCTCCCGGTGCATGGAGCCTGCTTCTCCCTCTGCCTGTGTCTCTACCTCTCTCTCCCTCTCTCTGTGACTATCATAAATAAATTAAAAAAATAAAAAATAAAAAAAAAACAAATTTGTAAGAGCAACAGTCAAGGATTGTTCAAATACCATTTTATGGCCTTTGTATATATATTTTTTTGTTTCAGATTTTTTTTTTATTTTTTTTTGTTTTTTTTTAATTTTTTTTTTTTTTATTATTCATTTATGATAGTCACAGAGAGAGAGAGAGAGGCAGAGACACAGGCAGAGGGAGAAGCAGGCTCCATGCACCGGGAGCCCGATGTGGGATTCGATCCCGGATCTCCAGGATCGCGCCCTGGGCCAAAGGCAGGCGCCAAACCGCTGCGCCACCCAGGGGATCCCTGTTTCAGATTTTTATTTAAATTCTAGTTAACATCTAGCGTAATATCGGTTTCAATATTTTATGAATCACTAAAAGAATTTAGTTCTTTTTTAGTGATTTAGTGATGAGTGCCCATCACATCGCTTACCCTCCTTAACACCCCCTCACCCATGTAGCCCGCCACCCACCCACCTCCTTCCCTCAACCCTCAGTGTGTTCTCTATAATTGAGTCTCTTATGGTTCGCTTCCCTCTCTGTTTTTTTTTTTTCTTCTCATACGTTCATCTGTTTTGTTTCTAAATTCTGCATATGAGTGAAATCATGTGGTGTTTGTCTTTCTCTGACTGACTTATTTCGCTCAGCGTGATACTCTCTGGCTCCATCCCATCATTGCCAATGGCATGATTTCAGCCTTTCTATATTTTATTATTATGTAGAGCATCCCCATATGGATATAGTACACAGCTCTTAATACTGTATAAAAGCGTACTTATCAACATGGACACATATTTAGTATGTGTTTTTAAGTGGGAAAAAATAGAGCTTGCAAAATTGTGGCCTTATTTTGTGAGTATATGTGAATATGTGCCTAAAGCTCTAATAAAAGGATTTAGAAACTCCAACATATTACCATTTGCTATCTCTTGACAGGAAGATGGGACTGTTGCTGTTATTATTATTTTTTTTATTTTTATTTTTATTTTCCCTGTATCTTTTTTTCTCTAATGATCACAAGTCACTTTAGTAATATTTTTTAAAAAGTAGTTTTTGGTATTTAAAAATTGCTATCTGGAGTTGTTTATATATTTTTTTCTTGATATATTCTTCTGTAGTAAGCAGAACATTCAACATCATTCCATTGATTATTCTTTTTAAAAATAGAGATTTCAGTATCTAAACATTAGAAACCTTCCCTGAGGACTTCAGTGTGAGCTTTTGGAGAATCAGTCTTAAATCTGGTCCTCTTTATTGACAGAGTCTTTGCACTCTTTTCCTTTTCTCATTCCTCCCCTCTCCCTAAATTCATCTCCCTCTTCATTAAAACACTGATGGGAAAATCATAACTCAACATATGAATCAATTGTTCTTTGCTTAGATTCTCAGGAATTTTTTTCTGATTAATAATAGAATATCTTATTTAATATGATGCATTAATAATTAATACAGATTTGTTCATAAATCAAAAATTAATGTACAGAATATTTATAAAGGATTTGAAAAAATGCCATTAATGTGATGTGCTTACATCAAGTATTTTTATTTTTTCTGCATATAGCTTCTTTTACGTAAAAACCATATTATATGTACAATTATGTTTTATTTTTCCTGTAGAAGTGCATCCTGGGGCACCTGGGTGGATCAGCGGGTTGAGCATCTGGCTGTTGATTTTAGCTCAGGTCATGATCTCGGGGTCCTGGGATCAAGGCCCACACTAGGCTCTGCACGCATTGGGGAGTCTGCTGGCGATTCCCTCCCTTTCCCTCCACCCCTCCCCACCGTATGCACGCTTTCTCTCAAATAAATAAACAAATATTTAAAATCTTTAAAACAACAACAAAAAAAGAAGTACATCCTAAGTATTTTCTCAGAGTTCTCTCTCTTTTTTTTTTTGAGTTCTCTTTTTTTGAAGAGTAGTGGCAGTGCCAAACCAGCATCCTTTCTCATTTGTTCCTTCATTTACCAATACCGTTGAATGCCCACTGTGCACCTGCTAAGTGCCAGCGTACACTGCTAGAGATGATAAGGATGATTCTGTCCCTATGGAGGGGCCCAGCCAGGCCCACAGCTGCCCCCTTGCTTAGTCCACTGTAAAACTCAATAAAGAAGACAAGCAGTAACAGGGGAGTGGAGGTGTTAACTAGACTCCCACAAGGAACAGCAACTGCTGACACTTACTATGTCTCCATTATTAACTTCCCCAGTGTCCCCTAAGTGTTCTTCCTCTCTCAGGGTGGGGAACAAATGGATTACCGAATTATGATAACTGCTTTTCACACCACATAAGTCACACTAAGATATGTAAGCTCTTTACCCCAGAAATTAATTTGCCAAGTTAAAATAAAAAGGACTTGAGATGCCATGTTCATCTGCTCCATCATACTTACGCGTCATGTACGTACTGAAGAACACAGAGGAATCTGCATTAGATACGTCTCACATGAAGCAATCAGGAGCTGTTTTCAAGGTCTTGAATGACAAAGACAGAGCAGGGACTGACCCTTCGGAAGGAGGCCCCGTGTTTCTTTCTGTCTTTCATTGCTGGATCTGGGAGGTATGGCTGGAGTATCCAGGGCATGGACCAGAGTGGGCTGCAGGGGCCTAGAAGGGGTCAGGACGGTGGCTCTTTGCCAAATGTGAGGAAATCTTTCAACATATCAGCAACTGGTATGACAGGCTCAGCCCTAGGAAACAATCATAAAATGCTGCAGGCGACTTTCTGCTCGAAGGGAAGGACATGACAGTGGCCAGAAGAGTTCTCCTACAGCAGAATTTCATCTTCGGTCGATCCTTTGTTAATCTTGTGAAAGTGAGACTCCAGACCTACCTAGATAGTTAAAAATGAGAGGGGCAGAAATTGCACCTGTGGACAACTGAACTCAAATATAGGTGTTATAAGAATGCTGCTAAAATAATGTTGAGACAGAGGAAAAAAGAAAGAGGCCTCTCGAGGAACCCAGTGACTGGGCTTGATAATTGGGAAATATGAAGCATCTGCTTATTTTAAAATAAAAAAAAAAACAGAGAATCATTTATTTATTTTTGGTGGGGAGTCATCTCATTTTAGTCACAGTTATCAAATGGCAGGTACTTTCCGTGCACATGATAATTCTTTTAATAGTTTTGTTTTTTTTTTTCTCCTCTTTTTAGCTTTCCTTATTGGAAAAGGCTGGATTTGGTGGTGTTCTTCTATATGTTGATCCTTGTGATTTACCAAAGACTGCAAATCTTAGCTATGAAGCTTTCATGGTGTCACTGAACCCAGGAGGAGACCCTTCTACGCCTGGTTATCCCAGTGTGGGTAAGTGTGTTGTTCATCTTTATTATTATTTTAAGCATTACAGGTTGTAATTTATAAGTACATATGAAATTAAGGGGTAGCAAGGTCGAAGAACTCTTACCATTCTGTATGTAAAAAATGATATTTTTTATCTGCTCAAGTTAGAGACTACTCCAACAAGGCATAAAACGTTTTAAAAAGTCTGTAATAGATTTTTGTCTGGACCAGTTGCAGTATTATGAGCAAAAAGAAGACATATTTTATGTTATTATTGATTGACTGAAAGATAAATTACTACTGGGTGGCAGAGGCACTCCATATAGGTGGAAACCATATACAAATACGTAGAAGGATGAAGTACCTGCTGCTTTAGGGTGTCTGGAATTGCTTTAAGTACAGAGTCGAGGGGTAAATATGGTCCCGTTAGGTGACCTAAGTAGTGGAAAATGATGCTGGGGCAGAATGGAGTTAATATGATCAACTCATCCGGCTCCCTCAGGGAAGGGATCTTATTGGTTTGGCCAGTCACTGGCAGCTTGAAGATGACCGTCTTCGCATCAGACATCCTTCCTTCTCTCAATAGGTTGTGTTCACGTTATTGAGGGGTCATGTGGCAGAGAGAAGACAACTGATTTTGGCAGGTGCTCCCTGCATCATTGAGTTTCTGTCCGATGTGTCATTGACAAGCAGTCCATTAATACAGTCTTGGCTGGGGAAGAAGCTCCGTGACCCTTCTTCCAGGGTGATAGTAACCCATTAACCATGACACTACAGTCAGTAATTAAACTAACAAAAAATTCATGTAATTATTCATGTGCCCTGCCAAAAATTTTCCCTGTTTTCTACAAAATAGCACAAAAGACTTTCTAATTATCTTGTTCAAGTCCACTTGTCCTCTGTGTACATTGACTTTACTGATTAATCAATAACTCTCCAAGAAAGAAGTAAATTGAATCAAATATGAGTTATAATTTATAAATTTTGTTAGGTCTACTGATTACTGCTTTGTCCTCTAAAGCACACTTTTAGTAATGCATTTAAGGTTTTTCCTTGAGACCTTATTGATATGTATTTCTTATAGTCTATTGTCTCATTATTAGAATTTCAGAATTAAAATTAGGAGATGTCCATCTACAACGCCAAAAATGTCAGTCCACTTGTCTCATTTGCAAATGCTCTAACTTCCCTGGGTTATAACGCCTCGGTTTCAGGAGTCTACATATGACAGCTAACTTTTTAGTGACAAATCAATGGGCTGCAATGCTATCAAAAAGCTACTTTAGGCGCCCTCGGGAACCCCAATTAAACGTAGGTTTTTCTTCCTTAGAGTGTCATTTATTTGCCTTAATCTGTCTTCATGGTTCTTTAATTGTTTATCTCTTTTTTCCTCAGTTTCCCTCTTTGCCATTAACTTGTCTTCTATGTCACTCACTCGTTCTTCCACCTCGTTAACCCTCGTCGTTAGGACTTCTAGTTTGGATTGCATCTCATTCAATTGATTTTTAATTTCTGCCTGATTGGATCTAAATTCTGCAGTCATGAAGTCTCGTGAGGCCTTAATGCTTTTTTCTAGAGCCACCAGTAGCTGTAGAATAGTGCTTCTGAATTGGCTTTCTGACATTGAAGTGTAATCCAGATTTTGTAACTCTGTGGGAGAGAGGGCTGTTTCTGATTCTTTCTTTTGAAGTGAGGTTTTCCTTCTAGTCATTTTGCTCAGTGCAGAGTGGCCAAAAACAAGTTGTATTGGAACACGGGGGAGTATCACTGGTCCCTCTAGCTGGTCTTCTGGGGGAGGGGCCTGTTGCGCTGATTTTCAGGTGTTAGCACTTGGGGGAGCTGCTCTGCCCCTGCCTGCTGCAGGGCTCAGCGGGGGTTGTTTACCCCGTGGGGCCCCAGGAGGAACAGAGGGCCAGAATATGTATTTGAACAAATCCTAGCTGAAAACTTTCCCAATCTGGGAAGGGAAACAGGCATTCAGATCCAGGAAATAGAGAGATCCCCCCCTAAAATCAATAAAAACCGTTCAACACCTCGACATCTAATAGTGAAGCTTGCAAATTCCGAAGATAAAGAGAAGATCCTTAAAGCAGCAAGAGACAAGAAGTCCCTGACTTTCATGGGGAGGAATATTAGGGTAACAGCAGACCTCTCCACAGAGACCTGGCAGGCCAGAAAGGGCTGGCAGGATATATTCAGGGTCCTAAATGAGAAGAACATGCAACCAAGAATACTTTATCCAGCAAGGCTCTCATTCAAAATGGAAGGAGAGATAAAGAGCTTCCAAGACAGGCAGGAACTGAAAGAATATGTGACCTCCAAACCAGCTCTGCAAGAAATTTTAAGGGGGACTCTTAAAACTCCCCTTTAAGAAGAAGTTCAAGTAACTCTGAACGTGAATGGGTTTAATGACCCCATCAAAAGGCGCAGAGTTTCAGACTGGATAAAAAAACAGGACCCATCTATTTGCCGTCTACAAGAGACTCATTTTAGACAGAAGGACACCTACAACCTGAAAATAAAAGGTTGGAGAACCATTTACCATTCAAATGGTTCTCAAAATATACCCTAAAAACTACAGAACACTTCTGAAAGAAATTGAGGAAGACACAAAGAGATGGAAAAATATTCCATGCTCATGGATTGGCAGAATTAATATTGTGAAAATGTCAATGTTACCCAGGGCAATTTACACGTATAATGCAATCCCTATCAAAATACCATGGACTTTCTTCAGAGACTTAGAACAAATTATTTTAAGATTTGTGTGGAATCAGAAAAGACCCCAAACAGCCAGGGGAATTTTAAAAAAAGAAAACCATATCTGGGGGCATCACAATGCCAGATTTCAGGTTGTACTACAAAGCTGTGTTCATCAAGACAGTGTGGTACTGGCACAAAAACAGACATATAGATCAATGGAGCAGAACAGAGAACCCAGAAGTGGACCCTGAACTTTATGCTCAACTAATATACGATAAAGGAGGAAAGACGATCCACTAGAAGAAAGACAGTCTCTTCAATAAATGGTGCTGGGAAAATTGGACATCCACATGCAGAAGAATGAAACTGGACCACTCTCTTGCACCATACACAAAGATAAACTCAAAATAGATGAAAGATCTAAATGTGAGACAAGATTCCATCAAAATCCCAGAGAAGAACTCAGGCAACACCCTTTTTGAACTTGGCCACAGTAACCGGAGAAGGACAAACAGTGTATGTTCTCATTCATTTGGGGAATATGAATAATAGCGAAAGGGAATATAAGGGAAGGGAGAAGAAATGTGTGAGAAATATCAGAAAGGGAGACAGAACATAAAGACTTCTAACTCTGGGAAATGAACTAGGGGTGGTGGAGGGGGAGGAGGGTGGGGGGTGGGGGTGAATGGGTGACGGGCACTGAGGGGTACACTTGACCGGATGAGCACTGGGTGTTATTCTGTATGTTGGTAAATCGAACACCAATAAAAATTAATTTATAAAAAAAAAAATCTCAGGAATTCTAGACTTCTAGAGTAATCTTACCTCAAATGAACATCAATGCCTAGGCCATAAAAAAAAAAAAAAAAAAAAAAAAAAAAAAAGCTACTTTATGAATATTCTGTTTAAATTGGTATATTGACCAGTTGGCAACATTTACTCAACACATTTTTTTTTTTTTTGGCTCAGATCATTTCATCGCTGTGGAATTCAGTAATATCTAGCAAAATGTTGGCCAGAGCTGCGAGCAATCTCAGAATGCTTTTTTTTTTTCTTTCCTTTCCTTTCCTTTCCTTTCCTTTCCTTTCCTTTCCTTTCCTTTCCTTTCCTTTCCTTTCCTTTCCTTTCTTTCCTTTCCCTTCCCTTCCCTTCCCTTCCCTTCCCTTCCTTTCCTTCTTTCCTTTCCTTTCCTTTCCTTTCCTTTCCTTTCCTTTCCTTTCCTTTCCTTCTTTTCCTTTCCCCTTTCCTTTCCTCTTCTCTTTTCTTCCCTTCCCATCCCTTTTCTTTGAAATAATTCCAACTCACAAAAAATTTCAACTAGGATATTTAAAGAATCTGTATGACTTTATCCCAGACTTCTCTCATATTAACATCTTATATAATATAGCACTTCATTATCAAAGCCATAAAATTAACATTGATACAGTGCCACTAACCAATTGTAGACTTTATTCAGATTTCTCCAATTCCCACCCCACCCCCCCTTCTGATCCAGCATCCAATCTGGAATTCCATGCTGCATTTAGTTGTCTTGTTTCCTTAATCCTCTTCAGCCTGAAATAGTCCCTCAGTCTCTCTTTTATTATCTTGACCCTTTGGAGAATACTGGCAGTTTAGTTTGTAGAATATCTCAGTTGAGCTTGTCCAATATTTTCTAATGATTCGACTGTAGCTATCAGTTTTTGGCAGGGATACTGCAGAAGAGATGGTGCGCCCTTCTCAGTGCCTTCTATGAGGAGGTACGTCACGGGCACGGGTCATTTCTCATGATGCTAGCTTGTATCTCTCAGGTGTGGTGCTGTCTGCTAGTTTTCTCTACCGTGTAGGTATTCTTTTGTTCCCCTTTGTAATTAACGGACATCTTCTAGGAAGATACTATGAAGCTACCTAAATATCCTCTTTCTTATCTTACTTTTCCTCATAAATAATAGCATTCATCAATAGTTCTTTTTCGTTTCAATTATTTCTGTGATATTTGCCAGGTCCTGATTTTTCTCTTTCCATTATTCCTTTAGAATCCTGCTTAAAGAAACATTTTTATAATATGAGTAGTCATGCTCCCTGCCTACCTTCTTTAGCAACAGTGAAATGACCAACCATTTTGAACAAAATTGCAGGCCAGAATTCTTAGACTCAATTACAAAATATCAGTGCAATAAATAACATTATTTACTGAATTACTAATGTAGTCATAGAGGACTCACATGGAAAATTCCTTTACAAATATCGTGCCAGTGTGTGGGGGTCGGTGGGGGGAGGATGTCTCCAAAATACACAGAAAAGGAAAAGATTCAATTCATTGTATTTCTCTTTTTGTCCTG